ACAGGGATACCCTATCTCAAAAAATTTTTTTTTTCAATTAAATTTACTTCTTTTATTTCTTTTGTTTTCCAAACAGTCTCACACAGCCCAGGCTGTCCTAGAGCTCATTTTCTATAGCTGCTGAGGCTGGTCTTGAACCCGTAATCTTCTACCTCACAAATTCTAGGATTATAAGTGTATACTGACTGTTAGACACAGAATTCATTTGTGATGAAGGAATTAAGAATATGCCATACAAAAGTATCATACTTAAAAATTTTATTATTTTTATTTTGTGTATGTATGCATGTATTGCTTGCATGTTTGTAAAGTGCACCCATTTCGTTCACTGTAGGGTATCAGATTCCCCTGAAACTGAAGTTACAGATGGTTGTTAGCCTCCATGTGCATACTGAGAATTGAACCCAGGTCTTCTGCAAGAGCAGTCAGTGCTCTTAACCACTGAGCCACCTTTCTAGCCCTCAGAAAAGTATCATTCATATCATAAAAGACAGGAAGCTGAGATCTAGGAAATCTGTACAAAAAAATTAACATTTTTAGACTAAACTTTATCTTCTCTTTTGTCAACTGCAGTAGCCTAGTCCCCTTTATCATTCACATTTTCACAATCTGTTAGTTCTTTCTGATCCCATATATAAGTGCTTAACTGTCTTTGAATCTTCCTCATAAAGACTGACAAATCATTTAAAAACTCAATGCAATTCCTAACAAAATCCAGAAAGGGTTTTTCATTCAACATGACAAATTGATGTTAAAATTTGTATAAAAGAGTTAATGACCAAGAATACTCAAAATGAGGAGATGTTATTAATCTGAACAGTGTTGATGTGAGGACAGAGGTGTAAATGAAGATAAAAAAAACTTTGGATTCAGTGTTGGAATATAACTATAGTTCTATATATAGATATAACTATAGTTCTCCACAAGGAAAAAAAAACTTTTTCATTTCCTTATGTTAAACAATTCTAGATAAAGAGCAAAATGTGTACAGCAAACCTTGAACAAATTTAAAAGAAAATATTAAATCATTGCTTTAAAATTAGGGTAGGGAAAGAATTAGTAAATCACAAAAGTTAAAGAAACAAAAAATACAAGGATACTTTTGATATTAGGAAAAATGCTGCTAGTTTTGGGGAGACCTTTTAAAACAAATGAAGCAAAAAAGGAGATATCTCTAGCACACAAGTGACAGAAAAATTATTCCGTGCCTGTGTTCTAAAATTTGTCTATCAAAGCACAACTCAGTGGGAAAAATGTTTGAAAGAAATGGCAGTTAGCAGAACTCCACAAGGCCTGCAAACAAGAAAATACTTCCAATCTCTCCAGTAATTAGAGAGTGGTGAATTACAATACAAGATAGTATTTCACATCCGCCAACTTGGCAAAAAAGTAAAACACTGCTGATATCAAATGTTACAGAGCTATAGCTGTAGAGCTACAGACACACCAGCTTATGCCAAAACCCCTCTGAATAATGATTTGGAAATGTATAGTAACTTTAAAATGTGCAATCCAGAAGTGGCCACTCCTAGGTTAAACCTGTGCTAAAGATTACATAAACAAGAACTATCAAAGCAGCATTGTAAAAGCAAAACGCAGAAAATCCCAAAGATCAGTCACTAGGAAAATTAAAATATCATACAGCAGTACAAATGTCCTAGAACTGTGTACATCAAACCAGATGATTCTCGAAAACAAAATATTAAACAGAAAAAAAAATCTAAAGATAGAATACTAATACTTGATGACATGTAAAATTGTGAAAAACAATCCTATACTTTTGGTATATGTACATCTATAATAAAATAAGAATATGTGATAGAGATGTCCAAATTTAAGAAACTGGGGAGGAGAAAAACAGAGTTTCAATTTTTTATGTATTTATTTTTGGTACTCAGATGAATCCAGGCCTTGTATATACTAGGTACCCACTATCCTACTGAGCTACATCTCACACACACACACACACACACACACACACACACACACCCCACATACACATTTATGAGTTTGGGGGTGGAGGTTTGGCTTGGTCCGTTTTTTGAGGCAGGGTCTTATGTATTCTGAACTGGCCTCAAATTCAGGTGCAGCTGGTCTTGAATCCTGACCTTCCTGCTTCCACCTCCCAAATGCTGGATTTGTAAACACGTGCCACTGAACCAAGTTCACATCTATTTTTAGTGTTTTATATTTTAATGTGTGAGTCTATGGCATTATATCTTTCTTTTAAAAAAATTTAT